CATATTCCTGAAAGCCTGTTTTAGGTCCTTAAGAGGTGTTTTGCAACCCCCAAATCCTGTTCTAGGGCTTGCCAAAGTGCCTGAGGGACCTAAAACCTGCCTGATGTGGGGAAAAAAAACCAAACAACCTTCAACAACCCCCCCCCCCCCCAGAAAAACAGTAAAACCCCATGTTTTAGATTTGGGGGTTTTTTTAAAAAAATCCTTTGAAAATGAAGGCATTCACCAGTGAGTACAGCTTCAGAGATATGACTTCAGGTAGCTGTACTCACCTTCAGCCACTGGAGGTGGCTGTCCTCCCACGGATGGCCAGGGTGCTGCAAGGCTATGGAGGCTGGGGGCAGCTCGGTGTCCAGGAGCTCCTGCTCTCAGGTGGAACAAACACATCCAGTGGTGCCCTATGGGGTGGAATGACATGCTCCAAGAAGTTGTCATCCCCCTGCACTGAGTGCAGGTTGGAGACCACCCTCCATTTCCAGAAGGGACCCCTGGGTTTGCTCTCAGCCCACCGCAGGGTGCACGCTGAGCAGAAGCAGTGGAGGCCTGGCAGTGTGTAGCTGGCCTCCTCCTTGCTGTCCAGGCAGGTGGGACAGCAGTTATCCAGCTCTGTGTCCTTGCTCTCTGTGTGCTGCAGTGGGCTGGGGGCAGCTGGGGATGTCGAGCTGCTCTCTCACTGGTGCTGCAGCAGCGGATGTCACGATAGAAAAGGGAGAGAAGCCACAATTGCTGTCTGGCCCTGAGAGGGGTGGAAGAAATGCCCACATCCCTGATGAAGGAAACCATCCCAGCTTCCCAGGGTGAATTGTCCCTGCCCAGATCACCTCTCTTGCTGCGAGAGTGACTCCTGGATGCCTTGGCTGGGGAAAATCTCCAACGGCTCTGGGGCTGGGCATGGAGAGCTATGCCAGCGAGATCTCTGAACATGATACCAGAAACAACAGCCTTGCACAACACTCCTTTCTGTGGCAGCAATGCCCTTGACTTAATAAAACCCTTTATGAAGCTCTATCTGGCCCACAGGAAGTGCAACTACCAAAGGATCTTGAAATTACTGTGGAGTGATAAAATGATAGACTTAGGCAAGGGATGCTTATGCTACAACTGTTTGATTTTTTTGATGTGTAACTTGCTCAATTTTATTGAAGTCTTTTCTCTCTCCTCCAAGCAAGGTGATCCAGCACTCATTTTGGGGGAAGGCTGAGGGATAAGCTCCCTGAGCTGCATTAGCATGCCCCATCCCTGCCACATCTGGAATAGGTTGTATAGAGAAGCTGTGGGTGCCCTGGAAGTATTCAAAGCCAAGCTGGATGGGGCTCTGAGTAACCTGGACTCTTTGAAGGTGTCCCTGATCATAGCAGGGGGATATGGGCAGGGGGGGTGGAATTAGATGATCTTTAATGTCTTTTCTAACCCAAACCATTCAATAATTCTTGCCATCCTGCACACAGTTGGTGCCCAGACAATACTTCCAGTGGAAGAAAGGTTTTTCCTCTTGCACAGCAGTTAGTCTTGAGGCCTCTGGAGCAGCACAGCCCAAGGGCTCTCTGCAGGACACTTACACCACTTGACCCTAGAGCAACTCTGCTTGATGTCATAGGGCTACAGGCTTCCTGCTTCCCCTCAGAACAGCCACCTCACTCTGCTCTCCTTCTGCAGCCTCCCCCAGAGACTGCGTGGGGCTGACAGAGAAAGGTCAAGTTCACGTGAGCCTGGGGGTGAGGTAAGCTGCTGTCTGAAGACCAAGCAGTTCCCATGCACCCTGTCTGCTACTGGGCAGGCTCAGCTGTTGGTGCTAGGAAGGCAAGTTTCCAGTGTTCAGTACTCCCATGCTGCATCTCTGATGACATGCCAGCAAATTCCACATTACTTCCACAGGTATTTACATACCAAAACAGAAAGGTCTGCTTCTACAGTATTGGATCCCCCTGGTTAGAGTTAGGGTGGAGGCTGTCTACACTACATGTAAACTACCCCAAAACTAAGCAAAAGTAATATTGATACTCTCTTTTTAAGTAGGTAGAAGCAACTAGTGCTTTAAAACTCCACAAGGAATTCTTATCACATGTTTAAAACAAGTGGCCCTTCTCACAACTGCAGTGTTTTCACGTGTGCCTGCTTTGCAGGCAGTTCCCTTAATAATTTTGGCTTGAGTCAGATGGTGGATTAAGATGGAAGAAACTACATCCTGGAACCACATGTGCTGCAGAACCAGAACAAAACTAGATTTCTTGTGAGGTTTCATGGAAAAGGACCCCAGAAGGATAATAGGAAAAATATTAACTAGTTGAAATATCTATTGTAGTACTTTCTGCCTAGATATGTTTCCCTCATGTACACCCTCTGTGATGCTACTTCAGGAACTCTGGGCTTTATTAACATATGATGGATAGTACTGGCATTATTTAGTTTGCTCCATTGTGCTCTTTTAATAGAAGAGAGTGATTTAATCAAGTGTATCACCCTGGAAAGAGAGGCAATAACAAAGCATACCTGGAAGAAGAGACTAGAATCTTGGCTGTGCTTCCTCCTCTCCATTCTGCCTTATCTCTTTGTTTAAAAAGTGGCTCTCTCTACTTTCTGCTCCCCAGAAAAAAACACGTCTCCCTGATCCCTGCCTGAAAGCTGGCTGAAAGCTACTCTTTTGAGCTAAAAGTTCCCTTGGTCTCTTTGCTGTGCTTCCTTGTAAGGAGAAATCTAGGCAGACCCACTTTCTATCAACAAAGTTCCACTTTAGTACTACCGCCTATCACCACCACTAATGCTCTCCACTTTTCAAGATATTTTCCCTTTCTTCCTCTTTTTCTTCTTTCTTCTTCCATTTCTTACTGTATCCAGGCTGCATGAATCGCTGTCAAGGAACAATTGCTTTGGCATTGGCAAAGGCACGGTGTCAGACCCACTGCTGGGGATGGTCCTGCTGTGAGAAGGAGGCTGGACTGAAAATGCCCTGTCAACAGCACATCTGTGAGTCCACACTCCGCTGAAGAAGATAAATGTGGGGTTGACTCACTGTGAGTCTGCTCTCCAAATCCCCTCTAGTAACTCAAGCACCAGTAAGGAATTTCTACCTAATATCTAATCTAAACCTGCTCTCTTTCAGTTTAAAGCCATTCCCTCTTGTCCTGTTGCTACATACCCTTCTAAAAAGTCCCTCTTCAGCTCTCTTGTAGGCTCCATTGAGGTACTGGATGGTGCTCTAAGGTCTCCCTGGAGTTTTCTCTTCTCCAGGTTGAACTACCCCAGCTCTCTCAGTCTTTCCTCATAGGAGAGGAACTCCGTCCCTCTGATGGCCTTTCTCTAACTCCCTCCAACAGGTCCATGTCATTATTTTGATGCTCCTTTTGATGCAGCCCGGGATTCCATTGGCTTTCTGGGCTGCCAGTGCACATTCCTGGCTCATGTTGGGTTTTTCATCAATCATCACCCCCAAGTCCTTCTCTGCAGGGCTGCTCTCTGTCACTTCTCCACCCAACCTGTAGGTGTGCCTGGGATTGCTGGGACTCAGGTGTAGGACCTTGCACTTGGCCTTGTTGAGGTTTGTGTTGCCCACCTCTCAAGTCTGTATTGCCCACCTCCCTCCAGCGTGTCAACTGCACCACACAGCTTGGTGTGTCAGTGAACTTGCCGAGGGTGCCCTCGATGCCACTGTCTGTGTCACTGACAGGGATGCTGAACAGCACCAGTCCCAACACTGACCCCGAGGGACACCACTAGTCATGGTCTCCATGTGAATATCAAGCAACTGACTGCAGCTCTTTGAGTGTGACCATCCAGCCAATTCTTTATACCCCGAGTGGTCCATCCATCAGATTCATGTCTCTCTGGTTTAGATACAATGTTGGCATCTGGGACAGTGTCAAATGCTTTGCACAAATCCAGGTAAGATGACACATTTTTTTCAGTCAAGTTTGCTGCCTCTCCCTGCAGCAGTTCTGTCTAGGTGGAGGCAGCAGGGAAGATGGTGTAGACCCTTCAGCCACAGCAAGATTGTATATCCCTGCCAGTTTCAGAGGGCTTCTCTTTGATCCCCTGCTGTGAAGGGTCCAGTTGCCTGACCTTTACGTCCCCCTCCTTTGACTTTACAGAAAACAGAAGTGCTCTGGTGAGATCAGACCGCAGCCAGGACAGCTCACCTTTGCAGCAGGCTGTCTGTGGTTTTCCAGTGACCCCTACAGGTTCTAGAGGCCTCTGCTGGGGTTACTGGGGTCACTGAAGGCTTAAGGCAGACAGACCACTGCTTTGGCAGGGAGAGAACACAGGTCCAACCCCCTCTGCTCTCCTAAGATTTTAGGTTCACATTTTCCCTAGGCTTTTCAGGAAAAGACACATCTAAAACTGAGCCGTGAGAGACTGATGAGTTGTGCGGCTTTGAAGAGAGGACTGTACAGCAGAAAGTCGACTTCAGCTATGGTGGTAATTACAGACTAGCACAGCCTCTTTTGTTCTAAACACAAAATGTGAAGTTAGCTGAGCCAGCAGGAACAGCTGATGGTGCAAGGTAGGTACCTGCACGAGCTACCTGGCCTCACTGTTAGCAGTGCCATAGTGCCTTTATGGCATGCTGTCAGGGTATGACAGACCATACAGTGAAGGAGCAACCTGCTCCACTGCACATCAGGGATTCAGAAATAGCCTCACACACGAGTGTCTGATGTGTGATTAGCAGAGAGAAAAATCTCCCCTTTCAAATCTCTTTTATATGCTTTGATAAAGGTAAGTGTCTTAGCTGGTGCAGAGACTCTCTGACCAGGGAAACAGATTTTAGAGAAATTTGCTAGCAGTATTTCCTGACTGCTTTAACCTGTCATTCAAAATGGAGCTAATTTCACACTGTCATTTTGAAGATCTTCACACATCATCAGTTTGAGCACAAATTATTGCACATCTGGCAAATACAGAGGCCTTTGTTATGTGCTGCACAGCAGATCTGATGCACCCTTGCATCCATAACATACTTTTTAGGGATAGATATAGTGAGAAAAGGTTAATATTTTCTTAAACCACCCTTTATTAAAAAACATAAACATTTGTAAATATATAAAATTATAAAGTACCAAGTGCTTCTTGCTTCCCAGTACAGTAGAACTCCAAAGTGGCAGCTAAATATGGTGTTAATCTGTTTGGTGTGTTAGTTGCAGGACTAGTAGCAGGACTGCAGCTAGTTTTGCAAAAAACAGTTAATCTCATTCGTCTCAGGGGTTTAAACAATTCTGTTTCACTTTGGTTTCAGAATTCCTTCCTTCTCCTTTTGGAAAACATCAGTGCTTACTGGTGAGACCAAGGCTGGAGCTGTAGGAACGAGCAGGCTCCCTCAGAGGATGCAGATTGCAGATGGGTGTTTCACAAAGGGAGAGCTTTCCAGTTTCTAACAGGGAAGAGAATTCAGGAACTGAGAGATCTCCTTTGTACAGTGCTTCTTAGGGAAAGTGCATCTTTGGCATTGGGATCATCCTTTAGCTGGACTGAATAAAGCCAGTCACAGATCCAGTTTGCATCAAGATCCCTTAATCAGCAAGTACTGAGATTCCCTTGCAATATGCACGGTATGAAGCACTATGAAATCCCAACTATCTAATTTTTTTTTACCACTTGAATGTTATAAGGTTGTACACGTAGACCTGAACACCAAAACAGGACACCAGACTGCTGTGGAGGTACTGTAAAGTGAAGAATCCAGTTGTACCCCCTGGAATCACTAGTGTAACTGAACTCCAAATGGGATCTGTTGTGTCACTCCCCACCTCTTATAACACTGGCGAACACCTGTCAGTTGCACAGAGAACTGGAAGGTGTTTGTTGATGTTTTTTCTTACTTTGTCTTCCCTTCAGAGCCCCTAATACCTGCAGGAACTTATGACAAGTCCCTGCACTCTCTAAGAGGTCACCTTTGCCAGTTCTTCTGCCAGTTTTCACCACAGCAGATCCTGCTATGTCATGGCCCAAACAGTGAGCTGCCCTCTCAGTTTTCCTTTATAGGAGAGCATCACACTACCCTAATATTACACCAGCAGGTAGGTTCACCTTCTTGTGGAAAACTTGAACCACTGAAACTGCAGGAGAGGAGGAGAAACAGAAGCCCAAGTGAAATAAGCTTAAGCTGAAGGTCTCAGTATCTGGCAGGGGACCAGATGGTTGAGGAATGCTGCTGTATTTAAATCCTGCTGCTTGCTGGTATTTTCTTTTACAGGCACCACTGCAGGCAAGGCTTTTCTTCTCCTGTCTGTAGCAGAAGAAAAAGTGGCTCATTGTAACAGACTTTGTATTACAGATCACATACTTCCCTGCTGAAACGAAAGGATGCTCTACCTCCTACTGTCTTTTAGCTAAGAGACACAATCAGATCCAACCTCAAAGTAGAAGAGTTGTTATGCTGCACAAGAACCACAGTCCTTAAACAGAAGTTTTCCACTGTGTTTGTGGTAGGCACAGCTCCCATCCCCCTGAAACCTTCACCGTTGATCCAAGTACATGAAAATAAAATAAAAAAAAGAATGGCTGAAATATGACACTCCCCTCCTCTACAACATTTCTTTAGCTTGAATCAGGTCAGATAAAAATTTCAGTTACATGCATAGTTGTCCAGTCCCACTTTGACCTTTCTGTCAGGACAGCCTTTCTTTCAGCCCAGATCCCCAATAAATGCAAGACTGAGGGGTGCACAGCAAAGGTGCCCTTTGCTCTAGTCTTGCTTGTTGTGCAACAGGACCCAAATATCCCAGTGTGCCAGATGAGCATTGGTCCACGCCCAGAGGTCCGAGTCCTTGGTCCTTGGCATCCCCTTTTTGGCCTGCTTAGGATTCAGGAACATCTGCTGTTGCTGTATCTTCTGCCTTGACCAAATCACCGACCGTCTCAGCATGGAGCCGCTTGTAGTCCGTGTGGAAGAAGATGACGTAGAAACAAGCCATGGCACTGCAGAGGCCAGCCAGCACCAGCACCGGAGCTGCAAGAAAGGTACACTTTTAGGCAGTGAATTCACAGCTCCCCGTGGGTGCAGAAGTCTAGAGGTCGGCTCCCAGAAACTGCACAGTCTGGATGAGCACCTCCCAAGGGCTACGCCTGAGCACAGGGTGCAGGGCACAGGGGGCAGCACCAATCTGGTAACAGGCAAACCTTGCTTCACCTGACACTGGCATAGGAGGAGTATTTAGGAGAAATGTGGAAGGTTTCTAGGATTCCAAATCCTGCGTGATCCCACAGGTTAGAGTCCTTACTCCAGTGCACACGGTGTGTTTGTGGGAGTGTTTCTGTGTAAATGTACACGTTTGTGTGTTGGGGGGTGGTGAAAAAAGTTACAAACAAGACTGAATCGAAACACTTGAGTTTCATAAGAGAACAGGTCCTCAAAGGTAGTGCTTCTTGTTATATCATCTGAAAGCAAGTGTAGAAAAAGTTCACTAAACATGAACTTTCATCTAAGAATAATTTTTGTCAAAAGAACCTTTTCTGAAGAAAAAAAAAAAAAGTATATCTAAAGGACTATGGAACAAGGCTTCTCATTCCAGCAGTGTCTCAAACACCTCCATGCCTTTCTCCACAGCTGTTCCTGCATGTATCAGATCAGAAAATGAGTAGGAATGGATGCCTGTTATGAAGCCTTGATCTCTGACACCTAGTGGAGCTTGCTCTGGGGAGTTTCCGCTCAGCCAAGCAGGATATATTTAAACAATGATGACCAGCCTTTGTTTACAGTGTCCCCAGGACTTGGTGTCAGTATTACATAAATATGAACCAGCTGAGAGATCAAGACCAGCGTTTAGCCTGCAATGAAAACACATTTGTGCTCTCATCTCAGTTGCTGTCTCTTCTTCTGACCAGCTAGGAAAGGAAGGGAAACCCAGAGCAAGGCAAAACAAAGCTGTACCAGTATGTTACAAACACAGGCAGGTGTTTGTGCAGAAGCAAGGGTGGTCACTTTCAGTCACGGCAGTTGTATTCTTGGCCTCCCACACTGCAAAGCAGCACAGGTTGTGCTACATGGACTGTGTCTTCCTCTTAGAACAGCTGCTTTCTGGCTTGGTGAAGCTCAGGTCTCTGCAGGGTGACCATAAGAGTAATTTTTAACCCAGAGCCAGCAGTGGCATTCATGGCACCTTAAGAGTTTTCCTGATTTCAATCTTGCAGGCTTGGTTTAGCAGGAACTCCTTGGTAGCAAGGAGTGCACCATCAGGTGTGCAAAGGTGGGTAGGAAATATGCTACAGTAGGAATCAGCATTGCAGGGTCCCTCACAGTGAGACCTGGAGGAGGAGTGGGGGTACACAGGATGCAGCCAAGCGTCCAGCATCATTTCCCAAGGACATACTCACTTGTCCAGTCCAGGGCTCCATCCTGGTCAAGGGCGCAGGTGGAGGATGGATCCTCAGAAACACGGACAGTGAGGGCTTGTAGCAGAATCATTAAAATCACACCTTCAACCTGGCTGTGGGGAGAAGCCAACATGCAGTTATGGCACCTGCCTGACTTATCAGTGCTGTAGACAAGCCCAGCTTCCCGAGTCAGAAGAGAGTGAGGCCTCTTTCTGGAGCAGGGCCCTTCTAGCAGAGGAAGCTACTGCTGGATTCCACTGGCCCAGGCACTTAGTTAATTGGTCCTGGCTCACAGGGTGTCCAAGTCAGCCTTTCTGCACATCTCCAGACACAGGGCCAGTGTGGCAGAATCACTCTATACTCCCTCTGAAGGCAAGCAGGTGTTGGACTACATCCCCCAAAGAGCTGAGGCTTATTACTAGGCTGACACTTGGAAACACCTCTCACTCCAGGACTGAGAATGGAAAAAAGTCAGACTATGACTTCAGCCTCCTCCTTATTCATAGCTGGCTGGCAGCAGCAACAAAGTCCACAACCAGTGAGATACAATAGCCTTCAAAGGCAGTGTCATGCCCCTCACTCACTGATGTTTCTTGCTGCTGGAGCTCCACCTGACACAAATAAGTGGCACCAGGTTACTTGTATCACTGCTTAGAGCTCCAACAAGTCATTCCTGCTGAATTCCAGAGCCAGGCCTAGGCAGGTAAATTGCTAAGAGGAAGGACAGACACTGTCCCATCTGTTGTGACCAGGTGCCCTGGGACTGATGAGCCCCATATCCCTCTGCAGAGCGCTGAGACCTGACAAGTGCCTGTACTGTGGTGGGAATGGGTGCCTCTCTCTCTCATGTGCTTCAAAGGTAGGTGATGCTGGACATGGTTAAATCACGCTTTGTATCAAGCAAGGGAGACCTTCGTCTTCCTTCTTGCTTTTCTTGCACCCCTTCCACCTAGTCCTCCTCGCTTTAAAACGTTTAGCTCTTCAGCTCTGTGGCTCAGCCAGCCAGCTCCCCTCTTGCCATGGTCACGTGCACAGACACCAGAGAGAAGTTCAGTGGGGTGGCAAGCACTGATGTCCATGCTCTCTTCTCTATCTGCACCCACTCCCCTGTGTGTGTGTGTGTGTGTGTTTGAACCCAGCTGTCAATTGGATTTAAGCTGCCTGCTTACCTTGCAACAAAAATCAGGCCTGTAGATGTGCCCTCTCCCACGGGGTAGGAGCACTCCACAGCCAGCTCCATGGCAATAGGGTAGATGGCAAAACCGAAGAACCCGAAGAGTGAGCTGGTGATGGCCAACATGACAGCCTGGTGTCTGAACCGAGAAGCCTGCAGGCAAAAAACACAATACCAAAGTCTCAGTGTCAGCAGTGCTGCACAGAAAGTCTCTGAACCCATAACCTGCAGGAAGCTCCAAGGGCTCACTGTTCTCACCAGTACATTCCCTATCTGTTCCTGAAATCAGTGTTTTTACCTCCAGGTCTCTAGAGTCAACTAATGGCTGCACAATGGAGAGTCACTTGTTGAATTGAAGCAAGGGGAGAGAGGATTCAGCAGAATTACCTGAAAAACCTTGGTGTGGTTGTACTACTTTAACTTGACATCCTGGATAGTAACTTACCAGGAATGTCTTCAGCATACCTCTAGCCACAAGTGAAACACACACCTTCCTCACTGTGCAAAGTAACACTTTGGAAGTGCTGTTTGCACTGGGTTACATGTGAGAATTCACTGGGTTGCTGCAGCTCAGTGATAAGGAAAATTAGTCAGACTCAAACAATGTTTGTAAAACTGGGCTTTTAACATAAACAGAAATACCCCCAAAACCCACAAACGAAAAAGCAAACAAAAACCCACAAAACATTTACAAAACGTGGAGATTATTTTAGTGCCTAGAACAGCCTTGTTCCTAACTCTGGAGGAAAGAGCATGACCTTGCCCAACCAATGCTGGTAAAGATGAGGTACTTTGCAACCACACTGCTGGTACCTTTTATGTAATAAACTCCCACAGAGGAACACAAGGTGTCTGCTCTGGCACAGCTGCAGGCCTGGCCCAGCATAACGGGTAAAGTCAAGAGAAACTCTGTTTGAAATCTGAGTTTGAAGCGTGAAGGTCATGCTTCATGACCATGCTCAAATCAAGCAGATTTGAGTGGGCTATTTTTGTTCTAACACTTTGAATGAATAGTTCATCTGTATGGGAAGAAGGTGAAGAAAGGGAGGGGAGGAGGGAAAGGTTTGCTTGTTGCTCCTAACGCTCCCTCCTTCCTACTCAGTGCTTCATCTGAGTCCAGATAATCTGACTTGTATACAGATCATCCTCAAAAAAAAAGCTACAGCACTAAAGGGGGAAATGCAAGGCTTGTTTTAGGCACCTTGGCCTACACTGATAAAGGCATTGCATTTGTCTGTCTCTTCCAAATGGAGCTACCATCACTGGAATCTTCGCACTGGGGGAGGTGGGATCACAGTCTACTGAAAGTCTTGATTTTTTCAACACAAAAGAGAAATGCACAGCATAAGCCTGCTGGGAAAGCAGAAAACTGCACCATTCTGGGTCCTCTGCAGTGCTAGGAGTCCCGTGTGTCATGATCAGATTCCCACTGGGTGATGGCTCCCACTGGCAATGGCTATGCTTGAGGGCAGTACTTGCCCTCTAGCCCCATGGTCGTAAAGTCTCCAGGTTCTACATTCCTCTCCTGGCTGAATTCAAGGCTTCTACTTTTTTGCCTCTCTTGTCTTGTCCTCCTCAAGGAAATACTGAAGAACCAGGCACACAGCTAGGTCCTTTCTGCTAATGTTGCACTCCCAACAGCCACCCCTGTTAAAGGCAGGTGTTGGAAAAACAGGGCATTCTTGTTCACTTTTGTAAGATGGATATTTAGCAGTTCCATCTCCTTTTGGAACAAACAGTCTTGGGCATCAGTAAGTAAACATGGTGATCCAGTGTAGGGAAGCAAAACTATGCCAGTTTATTTATACCCTGAATCAGTCTGTTTCAGGCTTCACAGTGACTGTGAAATTCTCAATAAAGGGTTTTTCTTTAAAACATTCGTAGCCCAGAGAGATAATCCCAAAGCGTAACACATGGTTTAATAAATACTATGACATCAAATGACCTTGGTTTAAGCTGATGATTTATCAGATGGCAACAGAAATAAGCCCAAGGGTATGGTGCAATGCAAGAGAGAACTCACCACTGCAAACACAATGCTGGCAAGTGCACTCAGACAGAAACAAATCTTGGTGGACTCGATGAACTTCCTTGTCCGGTCAACATACATGCCTAGTAGGAAAGCACCCAACAAACCACACACTGTGAACAGGGCACCATTCAGGCCAGCAAAATCCTGGAGGGCAGAAGAATAAGTAATGAGAAACTACAGCAGTTAGGAAAGAGGTTTTAACGTCACTGACCCATCATTTTCCTACCTCACTTACTGAGGTAGGAAAAGCATCCTTGCCCACTGCAGTAGCTGAGGCATTCACAGGGCGCTGAGTAGCAAATAACAGGGGCCAGGTGCTTCTGCAAGTGTGTGGGGACAGCAGGGTGACAGCACTCCCAAAGGATGACCAGTCTCTGCACACCTGCCAAGGGAGGTCGGGTGCAGAGCAACAGCAGTTCCCCAGCATTAAAAATTCCAGCCTGGAGCCACCGGGCTCTTTCAGGGGCAATCAGGTGCTTTGTCCACACTGCTGCTAACAGGTCCAACTGCCTTGGGACCTGCTGCTGTTTATAATCATCCTCCTGGCCCTTTTCTTACCAGGCACCTGAACTGGCACACCCACCACATGTTAGATGGGACACATCTCCTGGCTGTGTCAAATTAGAGAGGCAGTGAGCAGCACCTAGGATGGGGTACGTGCTCTGTTGCCTGCACTGATTGCCCCTTTGCTTGTACTACTTCTTCAGCTCCATAAGAATTCAGATGCAGACAGCAACCCTGAAAGCAGAGCAGCTTTTAACAAATCTGGGTAAACATTTTTGGGAGCCTCTGGAGTGGACTGGAAGGAAAGGGTATATGGAATGGCTTCTGTGGGCTAAAGGGTCAGGACAAGCCAGACGAGCCACACAGACAAAATCATCATGATGCACATAAAGCAAGACTGGAAAGTTTAAAAGGTATCCAGTTAAAAGCCAGTGGTGTTTGCAAACACGACCTGGCTATGGAGCCCTGAGCCAGATATTACACCTGGGAGCTGAAGAGAGGGTGAACTGAGACCAGATGTGTAAGTGTGCATAAATAACAGCTGGAGAGGTGTTCTAAGAGAACCTCCATGTCAATACAAGCAGCAGGACTGAAGTGCAGTCTCCTGAGGAGAAACACATGAACTGGGACATCCTCCTGCTATTACAGGGAGAGAGCAGGAGGAGACAGCTGTGCACAGACTGTGCTGAACTGCAAAAGCAGCACCTGGGCAGTGTCATAGCAAGGATGGAGAAACAGCTGTCACAGTGCCTATGACTTCGTCTGCTGCCCTGGCTTCGTGTAAGTCTGTGCAAAGAGGAAAAGCTGCTTGCCTTCAGCTTCACTGCCTGAGCCCATTCTACTCTGGGATAGGTGGCAGAAGGTTGCATATACATCAGTACTCTGGATTGGCTTAGGAAAATCACAATACTCTTTTTTCCTAAAAAAAATTTTGATTTGCGAATGGGAGCCTGGTCGTGGGCAGTGATGAAAATGCAGGTCATCCACTATACTAAGAGATTGGCTGTGCTCTGGATTAATGTACTGCTTAACCTGTATCAGATAATATGAACAAATAAGACATGAGATGGCAGCATATCCAATTGTCTTCATTTTGCTCTGAATTCCTTATCTGGGAAAATCAATTTGATTGTACCATAGATGAGCTGGACAACGGGGAGGAAAGGAGGAAGACTCACATTTGAATACCCCTTTTCACAAAGGATCTGTTCTAGCAGGGCTGAAAAGCAGGTGAACATCCCAATTCCTCCTCCGAAGCACACTGCCAGGATGATGTATGGCTTGTTTCTCAGGAGCTAAAAAAGAAGTTAATGTAAATAAGGGGAGGGGGGAGAAGGGCCTGGTTGTGACAGTAGACTTGAGGGTCAGCAGGTGAAAATACTGACAGGGCAACCCTGTGATTATTGGCAAAGTATGGCTCTGTCCTGTCAGTTCAGCCAGATGACAAGTTAAAATGGGGACCATATAGGGAGGTAAGATCTCTTCAGTGCCCAAATTCTTCCTTCATGTTGCCATGTGCTGTCCTACCTGTTACCACATCTGTTCAGAGGGCTCAAGCTGTGTGTGGTCCTCTTAGGTGAGCCCAGCTGTGCCTGTTTGAGGTATCTGCATGGCAGCCACCCCACAGCTGAATGCTCAGATAGCATCTCTTGCAGCTTTGCTGTGAGCAGCTTCCACTGCCTGAGGAAGGAAGGGATTCCAATCTCCTTCAGGGGGTTTTCCGTGGCAGGTTTGGGGCAGTGGCGTTCTGAGCCTGCTTTGTAAGCAAATTCCTCAGCATGCTCCTGTCTGGCAGGGCTGCATCCCTCCCGCCAGCACAGCACTCTCGGTGCTGTAGCACTTACCATTTTGAGCCCGGTGAAGAACGGCTGCGAGTTGGAGGTAGTGGCACTGGCTGAAGGAGGCGTTGGAGGAACCTTCTCATGAATCCCCAGCGTTGCTAGAGCACAGGCTGTTACTGCTGGGACAGCGTACACACCCAGCTACACAACATAAGGACAAGCCGAGTTACCAGTCTTTCCAGCTCCGCTGCCCCCAAACAAATAAATCAGCTGGACTCAAAATTTGCCCAGTGAAAACTGATAAAAGCAGATTTCATTTACCATCAATGGAATGTGCTTTCCTTCAGGAACTAGTGCAGGGGACAACAGGTTTGCTATAAGAATGCCCAAGGGATTGGCTGGAAGGAAATAAAAGAGAGACTTTTTTTTTCATGCAGGCAGTCAGAATTATGTGTGTACCCCTACTGCCTGCCAGCAACAGAGCTGCAGTGTGCAGCAGAGTAATAAGGACAGAACAAGGCATATACAGGGAGAAACCAGTAGGGGAACATTTGGAGAAGCTGACTGCTTGGTCTTAGTGCTGCCACATCTGTTCTCTCACCCCCATGAAGTCCATCCTATAAAACCATTTCACTACAACTCCTAACCCCTCTAGACTGTTTTTCATCTGTGAATTACGATGTACACGCCCTCACAAGCCTGCCTCAGTAACGGTCAAGCTGAAGGGACAAAATTAAGGTGGATGAATCCACGTCATCTGTCCTGGTGTTATATTGCAGGAGTTACAAACAGAGATGTTTTCTGTTCTTTGTCTCCCCATGCCATTTGGGGGAATACACCACTGTGAGTAAGAACCCCTGAGGCTTCTGGAGGGTGAACAGTCACGGCTTGCTCAGCCTCCGCTGGCATCACGGATGCTCCGTTCCCTTAACTGTCTTAGTGGCTCTTAACTGCGCTTACACTAACATATCCATGTCCTTCTAATATTCCTAATTCCTATTCTAATATTCCTTTTGATTGAAGGAATCATATGTGGACAGGGGACCTCCTCAACCTGCTGGCAATGCTCTTTTTAAAGGTCACAGGATACCATAGGTTTCCTTTGTCAAAAGGGCATGAACAGCAGATAAGCCAAATGGGAGCTCTCTAAAGTGACACTAGGTCATTCCTGAAATCTTTCAAGCCTGTATACTTCCTTAGTAAAGCCCAAGCAGGCTTAACAAGTTCATCTTTGCTATCAAGTACTAAAATCACATGGCAGCAGAGAATCTTGGACAACTGCACTGCAAGAGGGTGTTGCATTGTTACGAGGCTGGCGCTGAGCAGAATGTGAAGCAGGACTCCTGGGACTTCGCTTGGAAACACCCAAAATTGCAGGACACAATTTTTGAACTTTAGGGAAACATTCTGCGAATAGTCAAAGAAAAGCTGATTTTCTACTAGTGTGCCATGGGGTTAGGAAAGCCAATGCCAGCTTGGAACTCAGTCTGGTGAAGGGCAACATGAATGGCATCCACAAGTACAAGGAAAGTTAGGGAAAATGTGGGGCTTTTGCTGGATGGGGAGGGAGACTTGGTGACAAAGGACACGGAAAATGCGAAGGTATTCAATGCTTTCTTCACTTCATTTGTTGTTGGTAAGGCTAGCCTTCAGCCCTGAGACCAGATGTGAAGTCTGGAGCAATGAAGATTTACCCTCAGCGAAGGAGGACTAGGTTAGACAACGTTGTATAGCCCAGATATACACAAATCCATGACACTGATGGGATGCATCAGTACTGAAGGAGCAGATTGTTTTCATTGCAAGGCCCTGGTTACCTTTAAAAGGCCATGGCAATTCCAAGAGGCTCCTGAAGACTGGAAGAGAGCATATATCACTGTCATCTTCAAGATGGACAAGAAGGAGAATCCAGGGAACTCCAGGCCTTTCAGCCTCACTTGGATCCCTGGGAAGGTCATGGAACAACTAATGCTCTCCACCATTTCCAGGCACATGAAGGACAAGAAGGTGAAAAGGAAAAATGCCTGACTCACTCGGTAGCTTTTATACAGTGAAATGACTGGATGGATGGATGAGGAAAGGGCAGTTGACACTGCCCCCGTAACAATCTTGCAAACAAACTGATAAAGTACTGGCTAAACTAGTGGACAGTGAGATGAGCTGAAAGCCAACTGAATGGCCAGGCCCAGAGGATTGTCTTCACTGACAGGAACACCAGCTAGAAGCCAGTCACTAGTGAGGCACCCCAGGGGCTGATACTGAGGCCAGTAGAGTTTACCCTGGATGATAGGACAGTCTGCAGGTGATGTGAACCTGCGAGGAGTGGCTGATAGAAGAGGTGGCTATGCTGCCATTCAGAGGCACTGCAACAGACTGAAGAAAGGGGTAAAGGGGAAGCTTGTGAAGTTCAGTGAAAGGAATTGTAATGTGCTGCACCCAGGGAAGAAAAATGACCCCATCCACCAGTGCCCCTTGAGGATCACCAATAGGAAAGCAGCTCTGCAGAGAAGGACCAGAGGGATGGGAGGACACCAACTTGACCATGAGGCAGCAACACAGCCTCCTGATAAAGAAGGCCACCAGCAGCCTGGGGTCTGCACTAGGCAGAGTGTTGTCAGCAGGAGATCCTCCCTCTACTCAGCACTAGCGAGTCCACATCTCGAGTAGTGCCTCCAGTTCTGGGCCCCCCAGTGTGAGGGAGACAGGAATTTACTGGTCCAGAAAACAGAACATATGATTAAGGGACTGGAGCTTCTGTCACGTGAGGAGGCATTAAGAGGGCTAGGACTGATCAGCCTGGGGAAGGTACTGGAAAGCAGTTTTGCAGAGAAGGACACGAGGTCCAGGTGGATTGCAAGTTGACCACAAGCCAGTGATGCACCCTTCCAGAAAGGTGTCCAACAGCATGCTGGACAGCAGGAAGAGCACTGCCAGCAGGTGAAAGATCTTCACCCTCTGCTAAGACCTGGTGAGAAACATAGAGAGGGCTGAGTCCAGTGCTGGGTTCCTCGACAGAACATACCAATTAATGGAGCAAGTCCAGTCAAGGGCCAAAGACATAATTAAGGGAGTGGAACATCTCTCATACCTAAGGACACTGACACAGCTGGGACTGTTTAGCCTGCAGAAAAGAACCTTGATGAGCAATTACAAAGATGGAACCAGACATTTCTCATACAAAGCATAACACAGGAAACTCTACCTGAATATAAACTTCTTTACTGTGGTAGTGGTTGAGCACTGAAACAAGATGCTCAGATAAGCTGCAGTACCTTCATCCTTGCAGACAGGCAAAACCCTGAATAGACATAAACCTGGGCAACCTGGTCTAGCCAGGCCTGATTGAGCAGGGATGATTGGACAAGATGATCCCAAGAGGTGCCTTCCAACCTTGTCTATTCTACAGTTCTGCTGAGGCATCATTAATAGTTCTACAGCACACAGCAGCTGTAGTATTTCTGCTCTGTACTTGAGAAAGTACCAGCTTATGATGCTGGTGAAATGTTACCTGCTTTTAAGTACATGGACACAATTAAACAACAGTTTCCAAGGAGATGGGGTAAAATGCAACCAGGCATTGTTGAGGACACTTGCAGGTTGTAGCCTGCAAACTAGTCAGCTGTTTTCATGAACTATAGACATGCTGAAGCAGTTCCAGAAGGTATAGGTGAGGGTTGGAAATGTGAGCACTGGGCTAAATTTGAAAGAACTGAGACTACCTGGGTAATTACATGGTTTCAGCTGCCTTCTTTTCCTGGGAAGGGAAATTTTATGAACCCAAACGTTCTATGAATGGAAGGGAGATCACTGCAGTTAATCAGCTGTACATTATGGTCCAGGAGTCCTGGTGGATTAGCTTGCAGTACTCTGCAATGGGGCTACGTGTTTTGTGCTCAGTGATGCTGATGCACTGAATCTCCTCAGGGTGCAGACCAGAGTAAATGAAGAATCCTATGGATGAAGCAGGGGTCATTTCAGTGGACTCAGACACGTCTGTCTACTTCTGACACAAGAAAATTTCTCATGGTGCTCACGGGAGATCTGGCACTGCTTCTCTGGAGTAAGCCTCTGGAAGTGATGGGTAGGACCGGAGTACAATAAACACTCCAGAGCTGAGTCATTAATCACCCTGACAGCTGAGTCACACTGATTTCGGCTGCTCAGCAGGATCCTGGGTGCAAGGTCCATATTTGTCACAAAAGCCTGGGGAAGCCTACCCACTAATGGCAAGAGGCTGTAGGGCCAGTTTCTGTGTCAGCACTGATACCAACCATACTGGGGTGCCGAGTGCTGCTCTGGCAGTTACACAGGAAATGAGTATTGATAATTTGGAGCAAGGTTGAGAGATAGAGCTCAAGTGAGCAATAGGAAGACATGGAGACAAGTGGGAAGAAGCAAAGGGAAACGTGGCTGTAAAGTGACTGGGTAGGAGCCATTCAGCCTTTCTAGACAAAGGAGAGAAGAGGTGATTCTGTCCATAACTACCTTACAAACAGGTGCAACAAGACCAAATAGCTGGCGGATAAAGAGCATCGAGATTAGAAGTAACATGCTGACATTTGCCAGTGAGGTAATTAATCACTGGAATAAATGACTGGGGCTGTGGTAGATCCTCCTTCTAGGCAATATTTAAATTTTCTTGAAATGAAATCCTGATTTTGTACAGCAGACATTAAGGGTATAATTAAGCATTATAAATAGAAGCCCTCTGTACAGCAATCTTCAGGTGCTGCTGCAGACAACAGTCACAGCCCATTCCATCCACACTCTGATATCCCAACATGGCAGAGACTGAACAGCTTTAGGCTTTAGCATCCTACTGCTCCTTGCTCTTCAGTTTTGTTCTTACCACAGTTCAGTCAGTTTGGTCCCGTAAAGACTAAGGAGCTATGTGAAAGAAATGCTCTTTGTTGCTCTGTCTGCTCTCTTACTTTAAAAAAGCAAGTTGGAGTCCTTCAGGGCTATGAAGCACTGAGTGCCTTTGTGGTATTGTATGGTGCCACACTGATAAAAGAGCACCTTCAGGGAAGGTGGAGGTCTGTCTCAGCACTGGGAAACAAGGTGAGTCATCAGGTCCACCCCATTCTGGGAAAGGCAGCGCAAAAAGAATTTATTTGTTCTGACGCCATAAATCCATTCTTGCTAAACAAGAGCACCCATGCTCTAGCCTTGCAGAAAGCTTTATAGGGGTGCTCCTGTACTGCCCTTTTCCCCATGCCTACCCCTTCTTCACAACTCCAACGCAACAGGGAGGGAAGGCAGCTGTTGGCTGTTTTGACAGAAGGACAGATGGGGCTCCCACACACATGTGGGTACTGTGAGATTTCCCAGCTGGAGCCAGTCAGCCAGCGAGCCAGTCCAGTTTCTGAAGCACTCTTCAGGTCCTTGGAGAAAAGAGGAAGAGATTTCTTTGGCTGCTGGGTAAAATGTCACATGAAGGGAGGAAACAGGTCTGTCAAGTGCAGTATCCTGTCTCTGTCTGGGCCCAAAGGAGCCAAGAGAGGAACAAGATTAGAGCAGGCTTATCTGGTGCCTCTCCTCGAGCTTCCCACCTTCCAGGCACTTAGCAAGGCAGCTGTGGTTTCTGTGTGGGTAGTCCCAGCATTTAGCATTCCCAACATGTTGGTGTGGCCAGTTGAGGGTATTTAATCTGTGTATGCATACATACCAATTAGGAATACAAGCTCAGGCTTGCTACTGGACAAACTGGTGGACAAAACTGCCACAGCAGTCCCACCTCTACCCAGTTACAGGATTTGGCAACTGTGTCCATCGGCACCACATGCAGTTTGGACACCTTCCTAAGGAGCTGCAAAATTAAGGGCACTGAAGACTTCGTACTTAGTAACATTAAGGGTTGTCCCCAACCTCTGTGATATTTAGGCAAAGATGACCACCTCTTCATGGCAGAGAGGAAGAAGGTTAGCAGCCTGAGTGGCTTGCTCTGAACACAGCACCCAGATGTGTTTTAGACCCACTTCTTGCTCCCGTGTTTTGCTGCACGTGGCTGCAAGACCCTTGGGTGGAGCTGCATTTGCAAAGGCAAATGGCTGCAGCACAGAGGATTTCCTCTGCCTGCTACCTCTGAAAAGCAAAAAAAAGCTAGCAAGTTCTGGGAGGCAGCAATATTGCTTCGAAGCTGTCACTTACACATTGATGCAATCATATTTGCTGTGGCTCTCTGGTGGTCTGGGAACCATAGTGCTGCCAGCTTTGTCGGTGAAAAGATGATAAGAGGCTGCGCCAGTGCACAGAGGCATTGCCCAATAAACAGGTACCAGTAACTCTGGGAACCCAAGCTCAGGAACTTCAGAACGCTGAACGTCCGGGTGATGCTACCCATCATGTTCAGCCACGCACTCAGGATCACCTGCAGGAGGCAGAAACAGGGTTTATGTGCTGAAGCCTGAAGGGCAGAACTTAATAAAATAGATTAGCATGAGCAGGGTTTCAGATGCAGAAGGCACGGGGTGTTATTAATAACTGGGTGTTATTAATGCCTGCCTGCAGACCATCCCCACCCCTTTGGGCCACTGCAAGATGCTCCTGATCCAACCTGCCTCCTTAGGAAGCAATGTGGTTGTCTTGGCCCTGTATGAGAACTACACCACAGTGTAGCTCATGTAAGAGAGCAGACACTGGCATGGAATTGATGAGAAACCCAAAGTTCACTAATTACACCTTATTGGCAAGTTTGTGCCATCACCCACGTTTTGCTGTGACAATCCAAAGATCATGGCAATGAACCATCCAGCACATGGATCCTGCAAATGCTCTCCTATACCACTAGCATGCCACATTCAGTGCCACATTCCACAACTTAGTTTTGGGAAGACTGTGTGGAGATCCCAAGCTGGCTTAGCAGAGACCAAGCTCTGAGCTGACAGGGGTCTCTTGCTTGCATCCTGCCTTGCTGCTCCTTAAACTGGTCCTGCAAACAAAACAGTTCACCCTAACACTTTTCCACAGCAAATCCCACCCAATTGTAGCTGTGTCTTCAGAGAGCCAGCTCACAACATCTATCCCTGTCAGTTGCCTAAGATAACAAAAACTAAAGGAAAGTAGGGGTGCAACATTATTCTGACTTTTCCCACTGCTCTCCACCTTAGAGGTGATGTGACAGCTTTTACTGAAACAGGATAGAGCTTTCAACATGCTCATCCTCTGCAGCTTTCAGCCAGGCTCCCTTATCTAAAGCATGCATTTTAGCACTTTGTGCATCTGCTGTCTCTAGGTGAAACCTCCTCGGGGAAACAGAACACCTCAACTCACAGCACACCGGAGCCCCACGCTGTCGAGAACCCACGTTGCCACCAGACCAAACGGGATGGAGATGAGGAGGTACACAATGGAGAGCCAGTTGACCATCTCCAGGGAAATGTGGAAGTAGGCAGCTGTCTTATCAGCCACAGGAGCAAACGTCAGCCACAGCTGCAGAGCAGAGACCAAAACACGCGTAAGCACAAAAACCTCCAGAAGGACGGAAATTCAGCATCCCCCCAAACTGAGTTGCGAAGAGGCCCACTCTCCTTGAAATTAGGATTTTAAGGCTGGTAATAAAAATTCAAACCCCTAGTGTCTGCAGTTACTCAGCCCAGAGCACCCCATCCATTTCACTGCTTCATCCACAATCCCCTGGACCTGATGCCGGTGGCTGAAAGGGTAGAGGCCAGTACCTTTTTCTGTCACTGTGTTGAACATGTTGGCCCTGATGCATGCACTTACCTGAGGTAAAACACAAGCAATTCTTCTATGCTAGCATAAACAAAACAGAGGCTGCCACCTCCTCTCTGCATCTAAGAGCCTCTTAAACTCGGACTGGTATTTATGGATCCATTGGTAACTCCTGGACATCTCGCAAGAACAGCTTTGTTATGTGTCAGCCAAGAGATACATTATTCTATGCTTTCCTCTATACACTCAACTGTTAAAAAAAGCCTAGAAATTTGCATTATTCAACGTATCAGGACATGTAAAATGGAAGGTACACACAGAAGAGGTACTTTAACTATCCACATTTTTCTTCCAATGCCATATCTGGAAGTATCCCCCTAAACCTTGTTTTAGGCACTGGTTTCACAGGTCCTGTCTGCTTCTGGTTTCTTATAGGAATGGCAAGACCCACTTTATTCTCAAATCAGGTCCTGAGATCATGCCCACAAGGAATAAATCTGAACCCAAATTTAAGGATGTTTCCGTAGAGTTTTTGCAAAGATGCCTCATGGTGCTTTTCAAAAAGATTGGCCTAACCTGAGAAGAGGTTTCAATAATGTGGATGTAAGCTACTCTGGTGTTAGGAGATGATATTGCTGCTGTTGAATACTCAAGATTATAAAGTTTGCAGAAAACTGAACGAAACTTCAGCTATAGCTTTCTACAAAAGAATTCCAGCCACTGTTGCTTTCCAGGTGCTTTTCCCTGCCATCACAAACTTTCTCTTCCCAGTCTTCATCCTGCAGACAGGATTAGCTGTGGCATTAATGTGTAACTGAAAAAGGGCTCAGGTAACCTCAGAGAAAGGTGTGACCCTACACTCTACTTGTTATTTCCAGTGTTCTAGTACTTTTCTTACATGCTAGAGATCATAAAAACTATCACGTTAGACAGGAGCAGAAGGGGAGAGATGGACTTCTCTTCCTCCTAGTGTCACTGTGTGAGAACAGCCACATGCAAATCATTGTTTAGCTAGGCTTTTCTCCTAGTAGGGATGCAATGAGTAAATGGTACTAAAAAAGAAGTTTTGAATGTTCTATCAGTGTCCTTGCAAGGGTGCCTGGCATCAGCCTTCTCTAGAAGGACTTGACATACCATTATCTCCAGCATTCAATTCAAAGCTCCCATCACCATGCTGGGCTCAGACACGCCCATGTGACATCAGTCAAAGGTCTGGCAGGGGATGGATTTGGTATTTACTCAGCTTCTACAGTCAGGTGGATGAAGATGCTGGGTGCTGAAGGAAACAGTACTCTTAGACAGCATGGAGGGCATTCCAGATCACTTCCCAGACTTCCATCAGACTGGGATAGGAATTTAAATGTTTCATGCTAATGTAACTGTTTAGATGTTACAAGCATCCCTAAGGCATGAGCATTAGTTTGATTATGGGATGCTAAACTGTTGCTAAACAAATTGCAGCTGCGTATATCTGGAAATAGCAGTTCTCAGTTCCTCACTGCCCTCCAGATGGGGGCGGTGGTGATGAAACACTGTACCAGGAAACGGTGTAATTAAAGAGATGATACATTTTGTAAGCCAGCTTCAGGTGGATTTGCACCTCTCCTGTTCCTCTACACAAGATGCTCGCCTATGCATGACATCACTAGGAGAGTCATGGCACAAGCCAGAGCACAGCATTTGGAGTACAGTGACTGTGTGTGCCTACGAAAGCTGGGATTAAGCATTCTGCTGCACTTCCATTAGACCTAGGAAAACCATTCCTTGCCCAAAACCAAGCACACAGGCTGTGCTGTACTCCTGTCTGGAACAAGAACTCCAGTGTGTGAGAGCACAGAAGCTGGAAAGTTGCCACCTGTCCAAGCCTGAGCTTGTTCCTCAAAATAGGAAGTGGGTTTCTTCACAGGTCTGGAGAGAAAAAGTATGTTTCGTTGTTTACCATGTGTTGTTCTAACAGAGAAATTCAGAACTGGGCAATGGAGCTCAAAGTGTATCTATAGTCAAAAAGGCCACCAAATGCCCCTGCAAAAAGAGAAATGGTGCTGCGGAGTGGAGTTTTGCCAACACAGGGAAATAGTGAGTGAATATGCCACCTCCTGCTTCTGGGTTTTCCAGCTGTGATAACTTCACCCACAGTAGTTAGTAAGCTCTTCTGCTAGGAGCTGGAGCCCTTATTCTTCATGTTTTTTTGAAACTCTGCACTGCCAAGGCTGGTACTTACACAGAGACTATGCTGATTCAAGTCCCCTCTGGCAGGAGGGGTAAAGATGCAGTTCTTTCTTGGTGAGGTCAAAGTCCTCTAACATCTAAAGATGCATAATACAGGCAGAGGGAGGTTCCACTCTGACTCCAAGGGCCATTATCTTAACTCAGCTTTGGCCCACCAATGCCACAGAATCACAGAGTGACAGATATTCTGAGCTGGAAGGGATCCACAAGGATCACTGAGTCCAACTCTTGAATGAATAGCCTGTATCAAAGCTCCTCATTGCAGATCACAGGGACAGATGCATGAGGAGAGAGAACATGTGGGGTTATAGGATGTCAGCTCCCAAAATCTGTTTGCTTCTGTGACACATAAAGGAAAAAAGAACTAGAGAAAGATACCTCTGTCTCTGTAGGGCTGTTCAGTCCTTGCACTTGTTCAGTCCCTGCACAAGACCCACTTTGTGGAAATTCGCCCTTGTGGTCTGGTCAAGCTACACTCAGCTCCTCTGCCTGAGAGGCCACACAGAACCAGGGCCTCAGTGTGAGGTGCAGAAGGCATCAAGAGGAGCCTGTTTTATGTGCTGTGCTGCTTCATCCGTGTCCTCACGTGCTTCTCTGGAGGCAGCTCATTAGATGTCACAATGTCAGTTCCTGATTGCGATGGTGACAAGCAATTTTGATTCACCTACTACAGCTCATGTGCCTTCAGAGCCCTGCCAGGGCTACAATTAACCAGAACCTTTCACCACACTTTGACAAAATTCCCTACTTGGCAAAAGCTGGAGTGGATGATGATGGAGGTCAGCAGCAGTTCACATTCTGGGCCACGGCATGTTAGGTCAAGAGATTTATACAGAAGCCCACACAGAGCTACTAAAGCACAGGGTCTCTTTCCTTTGAAGACCAAACAGCCACCGTGAGTTTGTGAGCCCAATCCCCTAACACTTGGCAAAACTCACTTCCCAGCATTACCTCAAAGATTTTGCATTAATTGTTCTCAAAAGAAGCTTCTCCTGTAGTATAGTCCAATGTCACCGGTAATGTTCACTCGTGTTGAGTGAAAGGTCCCTTCCAGCCCAAATCATTTTATGATTCTATGTTAACTGTAAGCCTTCATGGGCATTCCTGTAACCAAGAACAAGTTACAGAGTTCTCATCCTGATTCCATTTCTGGTTTTCTGTTACCCTTTCTGATACCCTCCTAACCCCTTAACTGATTCTCAAACATAGATCCAGCCCTCTTCCTCCCAGAATCAGCCCAAACCCTCTCGTTTTCCTCCTGCTCTCATTCCCCTTCCACCTCCATCTTCTCCTGGTTCAGTTCTTCCACCATATTGCCCTTACTGCTTCCACACACACACACAGACTCTCCAAGAACTATTTCACCCACAGGACCCAGTTTCCCTCCGTGAATTCCAAGGGAGCCCACAGTCCCCAGCTTTGCCCACAGCAGTTCTCCCAGTCCCAGCATGCTTTCTCTCATGCACCTGGACACTGATTACGGGGTGATGCGGGATGTCTTTCTGTGGCATAGAGGCTGCCTCCTTACCCTCTGAGACCGGGCTATGGAGCCCTTACATCACATTCCTCATCTTCAAGGTTAAAAGGGCCACACAGTCTGGAAGAAAACAGCCCCTGGCCTCAGACAAAGGCCCCCATGCTGAGACAGGAGCCTAGGAAGTCAGGACAGAGGCTGCCAGGCAGCAGCAGCTGTGTGTGCATGCGTATCTACAGGGGCACTGCTGGAGCAGACTGGTGTGGGTGAGGAGCGTGTGCACCCTGCCCTGGAGCATGCCAGTCTCCACTTATGCAGCTCTCCTTCCTCTCACAAGTACACTAAGAGGTGGTGTAAGTCCTCCAGCTGGTGAGTCAGGAACCACTTGGCCAAGCACGAGCCAGCTCCAACCCTCTGCTCCTCCCCAGCTTGCTCCAGCTGACAAGCACAGAAAAGGACAGTGAACACTCCCTGTTTCATTCTTCTGTCTTTTTCTGTATCCCCAGTGTGAGAAAACATGAAAAAGTTTCTCCTGTGAAATGTAAACTTCCAACCTATTTGGCTTCACAGGAAGGAGGCTAGAAGGAAGGAGGAATTTGTTTCAGCAGTTTACCACTATGGCAGCTGTGAGCACACCAAGAATACTCTTAAACATTAGGTCTTTGGATGAAAAACCCCACATTTAAAACCACAGCATCAGCTTGGCAAAACAAATCCGGGGAGAAACCACAGGTGGAGTTATGTCACCCCTCACCATCAGTGCTGCAAGAGACAGCTGGGGATAAATCATCTAAGCTTAGCTGTGGCCAGAACATCCCCTCTGCCCAGGAATTCAGGCAGCAATGAATTATGCTGATGTCTGTGGTGTTCATGGCCTTCTTAAGATCAGACACAGGTTTCTTTCTTACACTGCATTGTCAGCAAGGAATTCCCAGAAAAGCCATATTTAGGAGACGAGAACCATCTCCTGCTAAGGTAGTACCCTGCCTTGTACAGCAAGGAGGGACAAAGCTTTCAGCCTCAGGTCAGTAACAGAGCTACAAGTAAGGGGCTATTTATCACTGGTGTAAAAAAGCCTTTATTATAATATTAATCCCACTGTGCTCTGGTTAATGAAGGAATCCCACACAGTGATGTAGAGCAGAAGGATACAGGAAAGAGCATCCCTTTCATCACCACGTGTTCTGTCCTGGTTTTGCTCAATCATACCCTAAAGCAGACTGAACTAAGAAATCCTCCTTTCAGTGAACTAAGAAATACTCCATGCTCTTCCTGCATGACCAAGTGTCCTTTCCTGCAGTTAAATTGCTTCTACCTTCTCTTCCTGACACTGATAGGGACCCCCTCTCAGGACTGTCTCCTGACTGCCACTTTTAGTGACACCGGAGGCCACTGATAGAAAACTGCATGTATACGTGCAAGAGTATCACACAAGGCATCATCCTGGAACCCTACTCCAGAAAATGAGGTCCAAATCAGACAATTCAAGATCTGTATATCCTTATCATATGCATTTGTAGAAAGCCTGACACAGGACTACAGAGAACAAAGTGCTGCCTGAAACATTTGCACAGGAATCGAGGACACAACTTGCATGGCAATTTTTCACACCACAGAACTGGTAAATTAATCTTTTCATCTGGAACTTTTAAACAGCAACAAACCACTGTGATTTCATGGACTTTCAACCACTCCCTCCATTTTAACGTGATTTTTATCACAAACATTTCGGAGAAACTTTAGCACCACTAAATGTTTGGTTGCAACTTTATACACCAGCATACTTGCCATTCCAGGCCCTTGCAATGGCTTAGAAACAGTATTTCCACTCCAGGATTAGGCACCCAGTTTTGAAGTGATAAAGTTCCAGTCTAATTTCATACTGTGGAAAAATAATACTGCAGACAGTAAGGAAGTTGTCAAGGGAACAAGGAAACAGACAACAGGTCAATATTGCAGGGCTACAAAGTTTTCAGCAACATGACTCAAGACACAGTTACACTTGCACGTGCACTGAAAGGACCTTTTAAAGTAACCCTCCAGTTTGTTTCACTGTTAAGGTTTCAGCGAAGTCAGAATCTGACAAGATATCCTGAAAAGGCTTTGTACAGCTTCCTCCACCCCTGCTGTCACCGTCCACTTTTAGCAGGGTGGGGGTTTCTTTTGCCACATAATGTTCTTCTGTTATGCCAATGTAACTGCAAGCAAGAAGCCCAGCTTTTCTGCAGGACATTTTTTTTACACTCTTAAAGGATCCACTGATTTTCCATTGAGAGGGTGCCTTTTTTTTTTCCCCCCCCATATAGAGCCAAATTCTCACTATGATGTTCCATTTCTCTACTCCAGTACTCTTGCATCATGGAATACCTAATCTTCCTTCCAGCATTTAAATATTTGCAGGTTACAGTGCCTGATCTTGTCTGTCAGACAGTCTGTATTCACAGCGTGGTAATCCTCAAGCACATGAATAATTCTACATCAATCTGATAATTATCAACAATGTCCTCAGTGACTTGATGAGCAAAGAACTGGGCTTCTGTCTTGTATAGTAAGCCTTGCTAACTTTATGAGTTTATCTGAGTAATTACTGAACTGAATTTGAATCTGTTCAACAGGTGGAGTGTGATTGGGCATCCCATTTTTTCCCAGTCTTTCAGAATAAGGCACTAAGAGCAGGCAGTAAGTTCACATAACCATCTGTTCGGCGCAGAATCACTCCTATAGTGTTGTGTTTGTGCAACAGACCCTGAAAGGAAACCTAGTTGGGCCTTTTTGTGACCATATAAATCTGCTGTCTCAGGCCAGCAATGAGGCCGAGCTAACTCGTGCTCCTCTCCCACGGCGTTTCAACACTGTTCTGCTATTCTTAGGCTTGAAACATGTGACCCTGACAGACGCTGAACACTTTCTCTCTCTCCCCACGGCCTACGAAGTGGACTCGGCAACAACTTTTGCTGTGCTCCAGGACACCTTTTGCTTCATCCCAGTCTGACTTGACGCTGCGGTACTTCCTGCTGTGCTCTTGGATCACATACATCCTCCCGCCCCATCCTGCCCTTCCCTTGTCACCACCCCCCCGTGCCCCGGATCCCACCGGTAAGAAAGGGAAGCGTGCAGGCCGAGGTGGTAACCGGGGAAACAAAGTTCAAAAGGAAAAGACACTTATTCTGTCCCTACGACACGGCCAGGCTGAGGCTCCTCTGAACCGTGCGCGTACAACCGAGTCCCGGTGCTCCAAGGATGAGGGGGTGGATCTGAGACAGGGCACTGGGGCAGAGCCCTGAGGATTGCCTGGCTGCTTCTAGGAAGAAACAGGAGGTGCTTTTGGCTCTGGAAAGCCATGCCAAACCGCCCTCCCTCCGCAGCACCAGCAGCAGCCGGAGCTGCTCTGCAGAGCCCCTGCACGGGCTGTGCGCGCTGCCTGCGCTGCGCCTCCTCCTGTGCTCGGGCACGCCGGGGCTGCCGGCGGCCGCCCCTGCCCCACCGCCCTCCGGAGGAGCGTCCCGCCGCCCTCCCGCCCCAGCCGGCCCCGGGAGCGGCTCCCGGCGCGGGGGAAGCGGGTCCCGGCCCGGGCGGTGCCGTCACGGCACTCACCATGGCGTTGGAGCAGTTGAGCAGGCACACGGCGGACAGCAGGACCCACCGCCGCCGGTACGTCTTGAACCCAGCCAGATGCCCCGGGCTGCGCTCCCCCAGCAGGCTCTCCGCCTCGCCTCCCTCCATCGCGGCTCGGCACGGCACGGCTCGGCACGGCGCGGCACGGCACGGCTCAGCACTGCCCCGTCCGGCCCCGCCCCGCCGCGCTCGCCGGCCTCCCTGGGGCGGCCCCGGCCGCGCCACCGCCCAGCATGGCACAGCATGGCACGGCACAGGATGGCACGGCACAGCATGGCACAGCATGGCACGGCACAACATGGCACAGCATGGCACGGCACAGGATGGCATAGCCCGACCCGGCACAGCATGGCACAGCCCGGCCTGGCACTTCACGGCACAGCCTGGACTGGCATAGCACAGCACAGCACAGCATGGCACAGCACGGCACAGCCCGGACCGGCACAGCACAGCACAGCATGGCACAGCCCAGCATAGCTCAGCCCGGCACAGCACAACCCAGCCCAGCATGGCACAGCCCGTGCCGGGGCTGCTTCGAGCCGGGCACCAGCCCTTCCCCGGGGTCCGGCCGCCCTGCCCGCGGAGCCGCCCGTGCCCCGCCGCTCCCGTCAGCCGGGGAGAGCCCGGCGCTCCGAAACGGGGCTGCTGAGGGGCGCGGGAAAGGGGGAGCCTTGGCCAGGAGACTCTTCTCCCTGCCCCGTGAGTCTTAAAACAACAGCATCACCAGCATCCTGATGCCCGTTGACGGCTCCCATAAGGAGTCACCGCCAGCCTTACCTCCGGGCACCGCCGGAGCGGCAGCTGCAGCGGCTGAGGGTGCAGGTGGTGGCAGGAGGAGGGAGCAGCCTCGTGGGAGCAGCACTGTCCGAGTGTGGATCGCTCACTGGAGTAGGAAAAGGACTAGAGGAGAATAAAGGGAGAGTGTTCAGACCCACAGGGGTCTATCAGCCACGGGACGTATAGTTTGACTACGGATTTGTATGACTGGTTTTGCTGCAGGCAGCAGTATCTTCTTTCCCCAATGCAGAGACACCCACAGCAGCTGTTATCTCCTTCTCAAAAATTCAGCAAGATAAAAAGCCAAAAGTGCAAAGGAAACACCCCCCCCCCCTTCCAAACAAGACCTGTGACTTCAAGTTGGTTGAAGACTGGTAGTGCCTGGATGTCTTTCTCCCAGCTCTGATGTCTAATCACCCTCCCACACCACCATACCACCACTGCTCAGCCTCAGAAGAACCAAGCCAACAGGCAGATGGAGTCCAGAAATGGGTCCAAAATACTAATATCCACATGTCATCTCTTATTCAGCCCTTTGAAATTATTGTACCATTCCTCATCACAACCTACTAAGAGCACAATACCTTCTCAGTCAGAGGCTGGGGTCACTTGCTATGAGAAGGACTTTATTCCGAATGCTTTGAGCATATTTGGAAGAGTGGATAAGGGAAGGTTATCCTGCATGCGAGTATCCTCTCTCATGGACAATTTTAGCTGAAAATTTCTGAGAGTGTGAAGGGAGGAGCAGGGAGCAGAGAGAGGGGAAGGAGTGAGAAATAACCATTTCTGCTCCATGTCTCGCTTGTTGTTTCAGGGTAGAGAGAAGCATGGGATGTTTGTGCTAGTGAGCAAGAATTTACTGACTTGCTGACTTACTAGAAACATGCCTACTAGAAACATGCTAGAAAGAGGCCAAGGTGTATGGGACAGCAGAAAGACACAGCATCCAGTGCTCGCCAGGAGAACCATCATTCCCTTCTCTCTCTGGTCACTCCTGATGGCAGGCAAGGCCTGTATGAAAATGAACTTCACTGAGGCTCTGTCCACATGATCTCCACTGTGCTCTCTCCTTTTTCAGGTTAAAATCATCATTAAAGATGTCTGAATAATGCTATCAGAAACCAGGATCCCACGTGAAAGACCTTTATTGCCTCATTCTGTTAGTAAAGTACATTAAAAGCTCAAAATGCACATATCTGTAGGACAGATCAGAATCAAGGCTGCTCTATTTAGGCTCTTTCTGCATTATTTCTTATGTCAGGGTAACATGGTGTGCTGTTTTCTACTTGAAATAGGATCCCAGAGAGATGTATCTGGACAGTGAAGGAGTTGCTCTCTGTGAGAGCTCTGTCAGTTTGGGTGCAGACATCAGAAATCAAGTGTCAAACAGGGCCACAGAAAGGGAAAAAGACAACTGCAGCAGGAGAGAACTGCTTTACTGTTTGGAGCAGAGCAATCAGCAGAACAATTTAATCCCACAACTGGGACTAAATTAAATCTTTGGTTTGTATATACCCTGCAATGACTAGTCTGGGGCTGTAGGAAGATAAGAGCACTCAGAGCAGCTGTGTGAAATTTCATTCCTCTGCTCTATACCATTTCTCCCAGGAACAGGGGCACCACTTGTTACTGGCAGCACACCAAGGACAGCAGTAGGATTTGTGTTGAAGGAGAATGGCCCCATCTGGCCTGCACCTTCTCATTCTTTCTTGATGCTCTGCTTCTTCCTAGTATATCTCTGTCAGTCCCTTTCTCTCCAGCTACACCAGCTCTTTCTCATATCTCAGCACATTCTATGCCCTATTTTCATCCTGAGTCTTGTTTACAGGAACTTGGGAGGCATTAGCCAGATGTCACAGGGGCTTCTCAGCTAAGCAGTTTCTTGTTTTGTAGGTACTTGTACTGAAGTGTTGGTGGTCTCTGATGTGTGAGCATATGTAAAATACACTGAACAGACCCAGCTGCACAGCTTGTACACTGAAAAGTCCCTGCTAAAAAAGATAAATAAAAAACCCAAACCCCACTCCAGAAAAAAAAAAAAATATTTTCTCTCAGGGACGTAAAGACTTGCAGGTGTGGGAAAGAAAGTTATCAGCAATAGAGTAGTTGGGAAAAAAATAGATGTGAAACAATTTTGTGTTGGGAGAGGTTTCTGCATCCATGGTACTTTTATAGTATTGAGCCCCTGTAACAGCAACAAAAAGGATCATCCAGGGCGTAAGAAACCTCTGGTCCAACCTTCTGGTCAAAGCAGAGTCAGCAGTTGTGGCGTGCCACCCTTAAGGGGAAGGAAGCACCCTCAATTTGTAGACACTCATGGCTGAAAGAAATTATAAAAGTGAGGAGGTCCACAAAAGCTTATGAAGTTTTATTTGTAAATTACACACTTGGCTTAGAAATTGGTATACCTTGGTCCTGGACCTACTATATAAGCACATGGCCATGGGTTTGGGATAACGGGGTAGGGTGAAAGGGAGCAGAGGGATGAATTGAAGAGGAGGAGAGAGAAAGAAAGGAAAAAGGTGAGAAAGAGAGATCACCAGACTTGGCTCCAGTGTCAATCCAGCTGATGGGATGTCCAGGGTTCTGGTGGTGCCTGCACATCCAGGCTTTGTGGAGGTACCTTTTACATATAAATTCCCCCAACCTGGAGATTAATTTCTCACTTCCTGTGCAAATTAGTTATCCTGTGCAGTCCATTCTCCTAGGCCTTCCCGGAAACGGATTGAAGGGCTTCAGGGGTCTTTGGTGGTCTTGATCCCCTCCTACAGTCCATGCCCACTTCTCAACCTCATTCCTCTGCTCGTGCTGTGCCATGTCGTGTTTATCTCCAGGAGCCAGAACGAGGAGGTTTGTCCCAGAAACGTGCTGCCCTACCTCCACGTGGCCCCTCCTCCAGCCACATCCTGTTCTTTCTCACAGTGTGTTGTCACCGACAGTCCTTGGCTGTTACTACCAGCAATCCACAGCTGGATCAACAGCTACTTGGCTACTGGTGTTTGAGACATACACATTAGCCCCCTTGTCTCCAGCCTTCTACAACTGCTGACTGAAGTCAGACCAGTTTGCTTGTGACTCACTCTGGTCTTGAAAACCCTCAACAGTGGAGACTGCACAACTTTTCTGGGCAGTGGATTCTACTGCTGGATTGGTCCTAGGACAGAGCCACAATACAGCCTTCACATGGGGTGAACTCATTAAGCACAACCCTCTGACCAAATTCAAAGTTGGATCAGTTGACTACCCGTTGAGGCCGTAACATCCTAACTTAAATACAAGAATGGGGGGACAGAGTTGAAAATGTTGCTGAACTTGTGGTAAAAGACATCCACTCTCTCACCCATCCACCAATCCCATCCTTTTATCAAAAAAGGGCAATCAGGCAGGTTCATGGGTATGATTTATCCTTTGTAAACACATGCTGAATATTCCCAGTTGCCTACTTCTTCTTCTTGTGTTCAGAAATACCATCCAGGAGAATTTGTTTCATGTTTTCTTCCCAGAGATTGAAGTGAGACTGGACAGACTGCAGTTGCCTGTCCTTGAAGTTCTTTTTAAATATATGCACAATATTTCTACAGGTGGCAGGGGTATTGGTGGCTCTTCAAAGATGATTGAAAGTGATCTTGTGTTGGCATTAGCCAGCTCTCTCAGCATCCTTGGACACAGCCCTTCTGTTTCCATAGACTAGTATGAGTCAAGATTTCTCCAGCAATTCCTAACTCACCCACTAATGGTCATCTTTCCTCTCCATGAATCCCAGGCCCTCAGGCTTGGTACCTCTTGCTGTGTAAAAAAGGTGTTGAGTTCCTCAGGTTTGACTGCGTCCACTTTCAATAAATCAGCCACCCTACTCAGTGACTGCCATTTTCCTTGTTTAGCCTTTTACCACTATTCAGCAGTTGAAGCTCTTCTTGGTACTGTTGACATGCAAGTTAAAGCTTCAGATGAGCTTTGGCTTTCCTAACACCATCCCTGCATGCCTGGGCAGTGTTTTTAAATTCCTCCTGTGTAGCCCATCCCTGTTTCCATCTCCTGTATATTCTTCTTTTGCGCTGGGGTTCTGCCACGATTCCCTACTTATCCAAGCTGGTTTTCTTATATGTTTCCCTTTGTCCTGAAAACTGAGATGGCCTGTTCTTGCACTTGTTTGAAGCTTCAGAGATCTTATCACTGCTGGAAACAGAGTGAAAAGCAGCTCCTTCACCCGCTGGGCACTGAAAGAGGCAGGGAACAAGATGTCCTGAGCTGCAGAATCAAGAAGCCAGATACTTGGGGTTGACAAGCACTGAGTAAGTTTCAACCTTCCATCATGGTTGGGGCGTTAGTAATATCCTCC